TGGGCAGTTTAATAAAATTTTGTTTAATGAATGACAAAGGGAAGGAATCACTATTCTTTTAATGTCACTTCACATTGTCTCAGTTGATGACAGATACCCATAAAAGACAAACTTTAGTTTTCTAATTGCCACACAACAGCACTAACCTAAAATTATTAAGAGAAGCTGAGTCTGAGTAGCTTTTCATCCTTCCTGAGAACTCAGAGCTTTGTTGAACTCCAACAACCTGTCATCCATGCAAAGATGGAAACTAATACTGCTGACATTCTGCAGATGTTATCATAGCAAATCTCTCCCCATCTTGTATGAAATAGGTGCAATAATACAGGAACTCTCATCAAAGATGGCTGAAGAAAGACATCCTCAGCTATAGTGAAGCCAAGAGCACAACAGCTTACAGCCAGATGGACCACAAAGCCAACCTATTCACTCACTGCCTCACCCTGTACCACAAACCTGGGGTCATCTTGCCTCACTGTAAAACTCAAAAAAGGGAAAAAGTGCAGGTACAGGCATGATTGGGCTTACATACTCTGTAGTTCCAGCTCTGTCAGTATAGAGCCATCTTTTAAAAAAAATGGAAAGAAAACTTTTACCACTTTTTTAAAATGAATGAATGCCAAACTAGAAAGCATTTCTCTATTTCCAAAAACCTTTTAGCCCTTTTCTGTCTGTGATATCCTACTTGATTTGAGATAACAATTAGTTACTCTTCCATATAGCTGCTGAAAATTTTAGAGATGCTAAACATGCAACCTACAATCAGATTCTTTGACCCACAGAGCCATAAACCCTTACCCTACCCCCATCCAGTGTGTGCCAGCCAGCACAGTACCAAATGAAGAAGAACAGGGTTAGTGCAATTTCCTTTCCACTTCTGAATTCCTCCCACAGACCAAGTGGCACACTAGAGCTGGCTATAAACACAGGGAATTTGGCCTGAGAAAAGCCTGTAGAATTTTGGAATTTTAACAGCTGGTGAGCAACAGTGTTTTGATACATTTTTTAAAATGGTCTTAGAAATTCTAAAATGAGCAGGACTATTTTCTGACCTCAGACAACATATTGGCAAACAGAAGGATAACATGCAACTTTTAATTTTTAAGAAATATTATTTTTAATAAAAACTTAAGCCTTTTGCCAGTCAAGTATCCTCTCTCTTTGTCCTCTCCAGGCAACTGTGACCACAGTCATCTCTATTCAGCAGTTATATATCACCCAAGCACTTTACCATCCATAGAGACAAGGAAGCATCTTAAATGTAGAAATAGAAGGAGGAGTCAGGGTCTTGGCTTGTAGCTACAACAGCCTCTAATGCCCCACGTCCCAGGCAATGTGGTGGAGAGGCTGTGGTCAGAGTTGTCTGTGCGGCCACTGAGGGCTCCTACTGACACTCACTAACCAGGCCCTATGCTGCTTGGCTTTGCAGGGATCTTCACCGTGGCAATGAGAAGCCCATGTGCAATCTAGCAAGAAGACCACTCTTGGTGAGCAGAAAACCTCAGGTATGTAGAAATCTGTTCTTCTACATCCCTTGGTATGGAAACCCTGGCCTAATCACTCATCCAAACCCACATGTGTAAAATTACTAATGACGATGATGATGTACATGATAAAAATATCAGTTAACATTTACTGGTGTTCACTTTATGGTAATTACTGATAGGAAATATCATTGTATGTGTGTATGTGTGTGTGTTAATTTTATTTGTCTGAGATGAAGTTTCTTAATCCACCACCTCAGTCATGCTTACACTTAAGACTCCTAACCATCCTAATCTTAGTCTTTTCCAATATATTTTATTAATTTCAACCCTTTTCAAATAATCAGTATCCGAGGAATGTATTACACTCAACCTTTTTTTTCCTTTCCACATTTTTTTATTCATGCATTATAGTTTCACATGATGGGATTTTTTGTTACCTATTGGTTCATGCACACAATGTAACTATATAATTTGGCCAATATTCCTCCCAGCATGTCCCCTCTCCCTCCCCTCTTCCCACCCAGTGGTCTCTTTCCTCTACTGATCTCCCTTTGATTTTCATGAGATCCCTGGCCCACACCACCTTTCTTTTCCTTTTTCCTCTCTGATTTCTACATATGAGAGAAAACACTTCATTGTGTTTTTGTAAAAAACCCTTGTTCATCAAGGTGCAATCAACAGAGCAAAGGTCTCTGAGTCAAACAGATATGGAGTCAGACTCCTGCTATACCACTAAAGAGCTCAGTGACCTTGAAGAAGTCCTTTAGCCTCTTTGGGCTTCTTGTCATATGATAAATGGGGATGCTTTTGTCCAAAAATAGTACAAGTTTGCAGAGAAATACCAAGATAGCCACTTGAAAGCTCATCATGAATTGGAATGCACTTGCCACACAGATCCTGGGTCAAATATACATCTGGTTCATGGCTGACCTAGAACTAAGCCAAAGAGTTTAAATTTCCAAGCCCAAAAGACAGGGATGTTGTTACCCTCAGTTCAGCAGAGCACAGACCATCAGCTGGCAGGGAGAGGCTGCTCTACCCAGGAACATCACCGGGAAGGCAGACTCATATCCTGAGACCAGCAACTCACCTTTATGAATTATCGCCAATGCAGCTGCCTTTGCTGTTCCATTGTCAGCTCCCACACATACATGAATGCTCATGTACACCCTCTGGCTCACATACATGCATGCACACTTTGGCTCTTATAGATTATCAGAACTCATAGAACTGGTCCTGCGGGCAGGGATCTGTTAGCATCTTGGGAAATTCTGGAACCCTTAGGCTATCACTATTCTTCAAGATGAATATTTCTGGAGGTGGACAGGAATTAATGAAATAAAGAGGTTCCCTTGAGGTAGCAATGTGTTTCTTCTACAAATTTTATTTCATTTTTGCAAATACTGTAAAATCCAGTAACTCCGGCTTTTTAAAACTTGGTTCTTTTTTAATTAGACTAGATGGCACTGTGGTATCACCCTTTTAATGCCCAATAAAACCCTATTCTATTACAAATAATTTTGCTTCAATTGGGACAATCCAAGAAGCATTTAAGGGACCCTGGTTTTCTTATGGATAATGTCTGGATGAATCTGTCGAAGGACAATAACTACCAAACAGATAATTCAGACTACATTAATGATGTGTGATTACAGACATCACATCCTGACCTACATGATCAAAAGAATTAGTAAAGACACATGTGCCCTGTGGAACTCCAGACAAAGCTGTGGCTTCCATGGTGACTAAGACCTTGTTTCTATTTCTCTATCATGGTCATGACTATGAAATTCTAGTTTTGCCCTAATGATGTTTTTAATATCACCACCACCCCTCAGTACACCTACAAGCTCTGTCAGCATGAGATTATTTTCAATAGTGCCAAATTGTTTGAGACCATTTTAAAAACCAGAATCATGTTGTGACAATGACTTACACAATTCTTGCGAAGGATTGAGTGGCCACCTTCCTGGGGCCAAGACTCTCTTTATGATAGAAAAACAAATCTGTTAGTCTATAAAGGAAATAAATGAAAGTTCAACAGATTCTGTCAGAATTCTGGCATTTGAGAAAGGCCACTGTAAACTGAGGGAAGGGAAAGATAGGGCAGGAGGACGACAGTGAACAGAAAATCAGAGGGCTCCATTGCTGCATGAAGCTAGACAGAAGAAACCACACTGACCATTGCATCCCAACAGTGCCTGGTCCAGGACACTGAGGGGCTCTCACGTTGGGGAGAGAAAGAGGGGTGTTGGCAGGCAGCCATAGTCACCCAAATGGGGACGTAGGGAATACAGCCACATCCTTGACCACCTGGAGACCCCCCAGTTCAGAGGTTCAACTAAACTGCACCTTATCCACTCCCAAGACTCCCTGCCCCAACAGAGATTTGTTTCAGGGATATCTGTGAAATAGTAGTCCCCCCCTTATCCCCCACCCCCCCAAGCAACTTCACCTCAATGTTCCCTTTAGAGCATTTCATGACCTCCAGCAAGTGGACATTGCAGTTGAGAGAAGAAAATTCTCTGCTTCTGGTTACAGACTATTCATAAATCAGCTTTCTTTGCATCAGCCCCAAGCTCCCAAAAACTGGACTGGCCACCCTTGGTGCTGAGGCTCAGGCATTTTTGAGAAGTTCCTAGTGTCTGAACGCCCTCATGGGGTCCAGGGCAGCCTCCCAGACGGCCTCTGGGACCACGGGATTCCCCTTGCACTCTGCAAAGCACCGCGGTTGCTCAGTGTGCAGCCAGTGGCGAGAGGAACAACTGAGAACTAGGAACTCTCCCCAAGTGTCTGCAAACAGTGGTGGAGGGACCTCCACTATTCCCGGCAAAGCGGGGCATGGAATGGGGAGGCAATAAAAGTCGGGCAGAAAGACAGAAAAGCGGAAAAAGTGCAAAGAAAAAAGGAAGAGAGCAAAACAAAAGAAAAGCTAGCAAGCAGGAGCAGATAAGATCTGGAACACAAGAGAGAAATAATTTTCTCGATAAAGGAATGGAGAAAAAAAAAGGGTGGAAGAGAAAGCGGGCACTTGAGAAGGAGGAAGAAAACACAGAAAGGAGATTTCAGAGCCGGTGCAGGGAGGAGAGGAAAAAGAGAGACTTAAGGACATTATATGCAAAGCTCAGTTTTTCAGGGCTCTCTAGTGCTGATCTGAGTGTGGTGTCGTGTCCTGGTGGAGGCTTAGGGGACACTCAATCAGGGCCACTCGGCTGGTTTCCCCCGCACGTACTCCCCATCACCAAACAGGCCAACCTTTGGACAGACAGGCGGGCGGTCCCTGGCCAGAACAGAAAGGCTTCCTGAGGACGCCACAGTGCAGCAAAGGGGTGGGGGGAGTAAGCCAGGATGTATAGAGACTGAGGAGACCTGGCGCCAAGGTGCGCCTTGAGTCCCTAGCAGCAGCCAGCAGCGGCCAGCAGCGGCCAGCAGCGCCTTCCCGCCCTTGGCCCGCGCAGGCCCAGGTGCATTCTGGCGCTTCAGGGGCCCGCATGGTCGCGGGCAAACACTCACCTGGACGGTCTCAGCCTGGCGTCGCGCTTGCCGTCCACCACCGAAGGCACGCAGCTCGTGAGCTCGGTCCAGTCGGCGTGCAGCCCGCAGCTCCAGCCAGTGGAGAACCTGGAGAACAGCCAGGTCTCCCGCTTACCCGGCCGGTGGCAAGTGCATTTCTTCTGACCCACGCGGCACTCGCAAGGCTGCTCCAGCTGGATGTTGCGCACCAGGTGGCGGCCGAAAGTGGTGCCTCCGGTCTTTTGGATGTGCAGGAATACGATCAGGTCATCGCCCTTGATGTCGAAGTCTACCTTGCGCAGGAGGTCGCCACGGCTGAAATTGTAGCGGGGCACGAACCTGGCGGAGCTCTCATCCTCCGAGCGGTACGGGTCCGGCACCGGGGAGCTGAACGCTTGCAGGCGGAGGAGCTGGCATTCTGTGCCGGGGCACACGTATTGGAGGACGATCACGGCAAATAGGAAGAGCATCACCAAAGCCAGCAGCAGCTTGTTGGATTTCTCATCCATGTTCCCGACGCTGGGGGAAACCCAAGCTCGTTACGTCAATCCCGCAGCTCAGCCCGCGCTTACCGTGCGCCCGCACCGCCCCCTCCCCCTGGCGCCGCCGTTGCGCCCCTTTCCCCCTCCCGTCCTCACCGAGTACTCCACCGCGGCAGCGGCTGTGGCGGCGCCCTTCCCCGTTTCCTTCCTTCCCGGCAGGCTAAGCGCTGTGGCTTCTGCCGCACACCCCCCCTTCACCCCGACTCCTTCCCGCTGGCCTCCTGCCCCCTCCCGCTGCCTAAGCTCGCCCGAGCCCCTGCAAGAGGTTTTGTATCCTCAGGACCCCTCCTGTACCCGTCGCCTGGCTCCCCAACTCACGCCCTGCGTCCGGTCCCCCACGCTTCTGACTCCACTCTCAGGGGCTCCTATCCCCACCGTGCTTCGCCCACTGGACTCTCCCCGTTCTTCTGACCCCAGCCCCCTTGGCGCGCACGCTGCTGCCTGCCCGACTAGCGGGCTCCCGCCCCGCGCGTCCCAAAGCCCAGCTCCCGCGCTCCTCGGTAGCCCACCCAGGTGGCCGCCTCGAGTGAGCTCAGAGCCCAGGTTTCGGAGTTCCCGTGGGGGGAAGGAGTCCTCCGGCAGCCCGACTAGCAAACGGAGACACTGCGCTGCCTGTGCCCGCGGAACAGCGGGACAGGAGCTGCAGCGTGGTCAATTGCGCGCAGCTCGGGTCCGGAGCCCCCAAGACCGGCCACCACCGGCTAGCTGGAACTTTGCGCCCTTCCCTCCTTTCTCCCCTGCCTTCCCTCCCTTCTCCCCTGCCTTTCCTCCCCCTATAGCCCCTGCGCGCTCTGGCCGGAGAGAGCGAACCCAGCTTTCGCCTAGAACGTACCTGGCCAAGGGGCCGAAAATCTTGGAGAAGATCGCACTGAGCACGTGCTTCAGTGAGTGGCCCAGGGCGGCCAGGCCCCGAGTGAGCAGGGCCCGGCAGAGGGAGCCCAGGTCCCAGCGTCGCCTGAGGTCGCGCATCCGCCTGCGGCGGCCTCGGGGCAGCAGCGCGAAGAGCGGGGCGTGCACGGCTCCCGCCAGGGAGGAAGACGCCTTTAGGGGCTCGTCCAGGAGCGGCTGGGAGTTGAATCCGTGAGACACACCCCTAGGAGGGCCCACGCGGACTGAGGCAGGGACCGACCCAGGCCGGCTCACTGCCAATTCGGCCTCTACTCTGGAATGACGACGAGGACAGGTGGTGCGGGCGGGCGCTCCTTGCTCCGGTTGCAGCGGCGGCCCGAGCGCCCGGGCTGCACACGCAGGCAGTGCCATTCCCCCCTTCAGGCAACTCAGGGTACTAAGGATCAGGAGCGAGCTTGAATTTATATAATAATGCCTCACACCCAAGAGCTCGAGCCACTTCGCAAGCAGAGGACCTGGGTTTTCTCCTATCTTGGAGAACAGAGGTCACTCCAGAGAGCGCATCTATTTTGGCTCGTAATTTCAACCTCCCCTAAAATAGCAAAGGCGCAAATTGGACCTTTTCCCTCTCTCTTTGCCAATTTCCATTCTCCAACGGAAGCAGGAGCATTTTCTGAAGAGGTAAGTCAGCATGTAAAAGAAAGCATGACCAAAGAAACATTAAAGAAGGGGAATCTGGGCATTTTCAAAGCAGATTCGCTCTTCCCTCCTTGCTGAATCCCCAGCACAGAGCCCTGTGCCTGCAGAAAGGCTTCACTCAGTAGGATCCACTGAATAAATGGATACGTAACTAAATATGACATCAGAGTGAGACCATCTAATCAAAAGTGATATGATACAAGAGGAAACTGAGGCTTACAGAGCACTGGCTCAGAGAGGACTAGGGATGTGTCCAGAGTCACACAGCAAAGCCCCAGGGTTTAATCCCAGAAAACCAGGTATTATTCACCCATTCCCTCATTAGAACACCGTGTCTTTTAATAAATAGGCACAGATTGTAATCAAGCTATGATGTCCAAAAGGCTCTTTTCTGCTGCGGGACCAGGGATGAAGGGATTGACAAGGAGAGAATGGATGTCCCTTCAAGACAAGGACCCTGGAAACTTAGGACTCTATTGTCCTCTTCTAATTAATGGGGGCTCTTGCTGTACATCAGGACTCTCAGTTTTCGTACTGAATATGCACTGCTACAACCCCAGTGCTGCGGAAGGGGCACGGGGTGGCAGCAGTGTTTCACAGTATTGCTTTTGGTGCTGGGGACACTGTGATCTGAGATCTGGGATGGTAATATATTCCCCCAGAGACAGGCTTTCTCAGTATTCCCCTTGATTTGCTCTGCTCTATCCCTTTCCTATTCTCTCTGTACCATGAAACAGTAAGCTAAGAACTGGTCAGGAGTCCTAGGAAATTGCCACTTCTCTGCTGGGCATCCTTGAGTTAATCACTTGTCCTTCCTGAGCCTCAGTTTACTATTCTGTAAAATAGGACTAATACTGTCCTCCATTTTGACAAACCAGATTACCATGAGGATGAAATGTAGAAACCTTTGGGCATTTGTAAATGTGAGGTTGTATTTACCTTCTGCCCTAAGCTTGGATGTGCCAACTGAGTTACAGGCCAATTAAGGAATGAGCTCAGGCCATTTTTAAAGCTGTGCCTCTGCCCTTACTTCCTGTGAGAATCCCCAACCCCGGCTAACTTCCATGTGCCCCCAAACTTACTGGGGACCTTGAGGGACCTTTGTCCAGCTGTAGGCATAAAGGATAATGGATTTCTTGGGAATGCTACATTCCAGGAGGCTCCAGGAAACACTCTAATTAACATGTCAAGGCATGCTAAGGAGCCAGGAGCAGCAACACATAAGGTGGACTTCTCAGCTTCCCCTAGGACTCCCCAGGTGGCCCCAGGCTTGTGGAACTGGGCCTGCTTTTCCTGAGGGCAAATAAGGAGGTGAAGCAAGGGAGTGGGAAGCTGTGGGGGTGGCCCAGAAGCTCAGCTTGCCAGCAGTCCCTGCCTTCTTGGACACCCACAGTCAACTTTTTTAGCCTGCAGAGTAGGTGGCTCTCCTCATGGAGATGTAAGGGTCCCCTGCCATTAAAACACCATTATGATGGCTTTCAGCAGTCCTTAGGAAAATATATTTGATACCAGTGTTTCACTCATTGAAGAGTTCAGCAACTAACTCTTGAATTTATACTTTAAAAGGAACACATGGGATTAGAATATGGGAAAGTGCCTTAGGTAGAGGGCAGGGGAGGTGATGAGCAGTAAAGGGAAAAGTCTGGATATACTCATTGAACTTGTGAAAAGGAACTTGGGCACAGGTGGCATACATATGTATGCATGCATACACACAGTCTGACTTTCAGAGAAAGGGCCAGAGAGTTGCAGAGCCAAAAAAGGGACAAGGTGGAGCTGTGCAGCTCAGTTTCTGAGACCTAATATGTTGCTAACTCTCTAGTGTGAATATATACAATAGCTCACTGGAGGATATTTGCATTTAGAACCCCTTCCTCAATCCTACTTGTGCTTGAGGATCAAAGAAATGGATCCCTCATGATGGAATTCATATGTCAGGGCTCCTGGAAATGGGGGGGGGGGGACTGTCTTTGGGGAAGAGCAGGAAATTTCACAAGTCTCAGAAGATCCCTCTAGAGTTGAAGAGCTTCCAGCTAGGAACAATGGAATTCTTCCTGTGTGCATCCCAAAGGCCATGTTCTCTCCTAAGTCCAGGTCTACACCTCTGGTAGGCGTTCAGGAGGCCTCCTGTAGTTCTGGGCTGTATCACTTCTGCTCCGAGGAGTTTGTTCTTCTCAGGAACTGAACGACAAAGGCCCCCAATTCTCCAGAATTGAGCTTCTTGGAAATAGGAGGCAAAAGAGGAAGAGAACAGGCTAAATTGTCAGGTCTTTGATTTTCCATCTCCTTTCTTAGACCAATTTGAGTTACAGTGTGTTCATATGTTGGGGATTCAATACTTGGAAGAGGACTCTACAGTCTGACCAAGACTTCTGGTTGTCTCTACCGAGTGCTATGATTTTCCTTATTTCCCCAAAACCGTGCTTCCATGGTTTCCAACAAAAGGTTGATGCTTCTGAGAGCACAAAGGTCAGGCTGGTTTGCATACTAAGCAGTGTGCTTCCAGATTGCATTTGGTTGCTGTGCTCTGAGATAACAGCAGGAGGTAGTTGCAAGAGCAAAGGGCTGGGAATCCAGAGAGCCAGGCTTATGTCTTAACTCTGACACTAAGGAGAACCTGTATGACTATGAGGGAGTCACTTCCCCATTCCTGGGTTCCCTGTTTGTAAGACAGCAATATTCATGCTGTGATTTAAAGAATATTTTCCTGATCTGACATTCCAAATCTTGTGCTTACTGTCCTCCTGAAGGACGAAGCGCTGCTGATGTGGTCCTTAGCCCAGGGAGAAAGCCTTAGGCCTAGTCCTTGGTGTATTCTGTGGCATTCACATCACTGAATCCCACCAGGCACTGGAATTACTCTGGGCCCATATTCTAAAGGTGACAGCAGGGTCCCCTTTTCAAATTAGAACACCTATATGCCTTCCCTTCATCCTGAGCATTCTCTTCAGCCCTGTCTTTGCAGCTGTCTCTAATTTTTTTTTAAATGTTCTAACTCTGAATAATAGGCAATTTTTGTCACAAAGATTGAAGGCATACAAACTATTGAGTCAATTCATTTCTGTTTTTATGTGTCTCTCCAAACTGAAGGAACAGCAGTACTTAATGAAATGCTACTCTGAAATTCAAGCTTTAATATTATAAACAGGTTGTGTGTGTTATGTACATCTCTCTGAACAGTTGTCTATCCCGCCCCCCTACAAAATACTGTTTTATTTGTCTAGCTTTACAAGCCTGGAGCTCAAGAAATTAAAAGAGGAAGATAATGGTAGGGTACTGTGTGCAGACCAATGACTGTCCCTCTTCTGATGAGAGATTGCTACCATTTCACTAAAAGTGGGAGTGAATGGAAGAATTAGTTCATGCAGGACTTTTAAATCCAAGGCCTGGAACCATAGGCAGCACACCAAACTCTGCTCCAGGGACAATCATCTCACTTGTTTGGGCCTCAGTTTCCATTTATAAAATAGCCCGACCAGGTACCTCCGAAAAGGTGGCTTAGGAGTAAAGAGGAATCCAATCTCAAATGAACGTTTTTAAAGAGGAGAGAGCAAAGATTTGGAGAGTACATTGCCCTGCAGTTTAACCAGGACTCTATGAGCACTGTCATAACCTCAGTTTTCTCATCCATGAAAATGGGCTAACAGGACTGGAGTTGGAGCTCAGTGGTAGAACACTCGCCTAGCACGTGTGAGGCACTGGATTCGATCCTCAGCACCACATAAAAATAAATAAACGAAATAAAGGTATTGTGTCCATCTACAACTAAAAACAATATTTTTAAAAATCTCTTCTGTTAAAAAATGTGGGCTAATGGTGGCCACCTCACTGGGTTCTCATGTGAATTAAGAAACGTAATTTAACAACTTCTAGTTCCTGGAAAAGTGGACTTTCAGTAAATGTTCATTTCTCTTCCCTTTTGATTCTGAATATCTTTGATTTGAGGTCTTTGTTGTATTTTCTACATTACTAACACACAGATTTAATAATGGGTGTCTGGCTATGGGCCTAACTGTGACATAGGCTGGCTTTGTCCCCATCTTATTTCCTTATCTGCGATCTTTTCTCACCCTTTTACTGCAACACTCTAGTGCTCTCCTGACTCATGTGCCTGAGGGGTGGGGAAAGCTTCTGATCCACTCAGTGAAATAGAGGAATGGGTATAAAACATGGCTTCTTATAAGAGACATCAACAAGAGAGGAGGAAGACAGCAAGGCTTAAGCCTAATGAATGATCCTCCCAGCCAATAATGGGATCCTATGAAACTCAGAAAACAGGGCAGCAGAGGAGATGCTTGGGGAGCTGAAGTGGAAAGTAGAAGAGAGTCATAGGTAAGTTAAGAGGAGCGCTTACTGGGCCAGCCCTACTCTAAACTCTTGACACTCATTTTCAGTTCCATTCACTTCAAAAGTTAATGGTTGATGTAGCCAGAGGGGTTTTGATGTGAGCAGCTCCTCAAACCACAGCAGTTGGGATTTAAAAACAAGGTCAGTTTCACATTCAGCTTGCATGAGCCAGGGCTGGACAAACCTATCCGTCAGCTGAGCCATAGGCTCCCTAGTTCACAGAAGTAGAGTAGAAAGAGCACCAAGCTGGATGCCAAGGAAACAGTTTGAATCCTTGTTCTGCCTCTAGCTCACTGTGTGACCCTGGATAAATCACTTGACTTCTCTGGGATTATTCGCTGACCTTGGTAAAATAAGACAGTATTAGATGATCCTGAAGGCCTCTCTCACTAGGAGATTTCTGGGATCTAAGCTACACTAGCTAAGAGAAGAGCTGGAGAGGGACACCACTGTGTCTGTCTATTGTATCAGCAAAAAGACCCTACCCAAGATGACCCTCCAGCTAGTAGCCAAGTCAAAAATCAGAACAAGGACTCAATGAGAACAAGGACTTTTTCAGATCACACTTGAAAATACGCCTTTTGGGCCTCCACTGACTTGAATGGTAAAGCCAAAA